CTGCTTAATAATTATGCACACCTGAATATAAGGCGTTTTTGACTTCCAGCCTTCATGAACAATATTATATAGGTTATAAGTGATTAAATACAAGATTAATAGTAGTTATTAAGATTGATGTCGTTTGGAATTGGTAAAATGTGCTTGGAAAAAAATATGATCAGAATATCAACTTGCATAATAATTATGCATGCACTGTATTTTTCCTCTTCTGCTGTCGAGGTAATGCAAGAAATGTTGTGAGTGGTTATCAAGGCAGCCAATCAGAATTTAGCAGCCTCGGTCTCTGATTGGCTGGAATTATGGCACATTGTAACGCTGGGTTGTGTTAAGCAAGCGAGCTGTTGGCATTTAGCGAGCACAGAGGGGGGGCATCAGGTGAGCAAGCTAGTGAAACGTTGCACGCGCAAAAGAGAAGGTCTGCACACATCCAAAAACGTGTTTTAAATGCAAAATTGATTTCCGTGCGCTCGAAAGACTTTTTTCTTTGCGAAACGAACAATTTCTCCACAAAACTCAGATCGCGCGCGTGCAAAATGCGCTTTTGTGCGCTCAAAATATGATCTTTCGCGCGCAGAATTGTGGCAGAAATGTAAGCCCATAGAGTCGTGCGCCTTCACACTAGAGCTTACGTTACGACAAATACACAAACACAGGTGCGCTGCGCATCCATTCAAATCAACTGAAAAACAGCACGGATCGCTTGGCGGAGAGTGAAACTCTGAAGCGCTCAGTCAGAGTGTTCTGTGAGTGAAAATATATCTGTGCTAATCATATACTCAGCCTCCAACTCACACGCTGGCGAGTAAAATCTGAGAATTTATTAGCCATTGGCTAATATTAGACATAATTTAGTCGCCCAGAGTGAAGATTTAGTCACATATGCGAGTGATTTACTCGCAATGTAGAGGGTTGTAACATCTTTATCTCTATGTTCCACACTTTCTCTCCTTACACACACACACCCCTCTCCCTCTCTCTCCCACACACAAAGTTTCACTAGGGGAGGGTTTAAATGAAGCTCTGAGCTTCCTCTTGAGCCTGTTCCTGCTTAGATTTCAGTTCTGTGTTGCTCCGATTTCATTTTCCTTCTATTGTTGGAGTCGACACAGCTGTGAGCGGCTACAGCACACAGGAGAACATGCTTACAAACACACTCGCTGCAGTTTAAATGAGATTCTGCAGTGTGTTGTTATCTCTTTGAAATTAAAAGGGCCACTTCTTCATCACTTGTAATTACTCGGATGCATACAGACAATATCAGAGATGAAGCATTGTGGACCTGCATGTATTGTATTACTACTCTGGAGAGATTTTGCCAACACTTACGAAAACCTTAGAGCTAAACAAAAACAAAAATATTTATGAATGTGTTTTTCATTAAGCATTTAATTACATTTTTTTAATTATTAACAGCAAAAAAGCTGTAAATAATAATAATAATAATGTATTAATAAAAATATATTGTATTAAATATGACTCAGTTTGAAAAAAATATTTATTTTTAAATGTATTTATTTTATTTTATTATTTTAAGGTTTTTTGATACAAACACATGCATGAGCATAATTTATTGTTATTAGTAGTAATATAGATTACTGACTGATATTTTAATAGTAAACTTTTTACAGCATATTTTTCATGTCATTTGAGTATTAAAGTATTGTTTTTAAATGTATTCATATTTAAAAAGATATAGTGCAAATATTATTAATAAATAATATACTGCTAAAATATTATTACTCAATATTATCAATATAAAAAAATATTTAATAATAGCAAATGTTAATATTTCATTTGTAATATTGTGATTGGTTTATAAAGTACTCTCAACTCATTCTTCTTCATTCTTGCACACATTAACCAGAAGAACAGATAGCTCTCAGCAGCAGTCAAACTTCAAACACACAGTGGCCAACTCTATTTGAACAACAAATAAACGAGTTTACCTGGCCGCCAAATCAAGTCAGCTAAACCAGGACTTTGCATGCAAGTTTTCTCCACACAAAGGTTTCATAACAATCTGCTTGCTGAGTGTCAAAATCTGACAGTCCAGTATCAAGGGAAACGAACCAACCGGTTTATCCAGACAGATGAGATGACTTCACCAAACCGACACCTTTAACTCCCTCAGCATTTAAAATGACATCCGATTCATTTGCTCAGACTTTGAATAAAACAACTTTAGGTGAATTACACCAGCTCTAAATGACACTGTTTTCTTTAGTCGGTGATAAACAAGCAGTTCATGAAGGACGGAAGTTTTAAAGTCCGCAGGTGCACGAGCACAACCTGTGGAAGAAATTACCTGTCGCACTACTCTGTTATCTAAATGTGTGCTTTTAGGTGAGGCAAAAGAATAAACTGTGTAACTTACCATATTGAAGTAAGAAATACGGAATGTTGAAATCCACAAAATTCCTATTCACTTCCCGGCCGGCTGGTCAAGGCCGGAGTCATCGCTGCCCTTCCCAAACTGTGCGGGAGAGAAAAGCTACGCATGCGCAGAAGCGTATCTGAGCGGTCGGCTTTGTTTTCGCCTCCTATGTCTGAGCTCTGATTGGTTAACGCACTGCACCTGGCTTGAAAAGGGGCGGGGCAACACCCTCCTCACATATTTTCCTGTACGTTACCTTTAAACGCCTTTTGTAAATGCAGCCTTGACATGTATGGATATAGATATGACATGTTAAGCAACCAACTTAAAACACAAAGAATAAACTATTTTTGTTATAAAAAAATATATAATAATGTTAATTAAAGTACAGTTTGCTATTATGAATAGTATTATCTTGTTATTCCTCGGAATAATAACTGGCTTTATATGATAAATAACTGTGTGTTGGGTCCGAGTCCACCTTGAGTCCTATTTCTTAACCAATTGAGTTTGAATGGGAGACGATTATTAATAATGTATTTTTGTCTTAATTTTATGTTCTTACTTTTTTTTTATTTTATGATATTTGTATTTTTTTTATCTTTTATTACACATGACGTGGATTCGTCTGTACTCAGTGCAATTTCTAATAAATAACTGTGTGTTGGGTCCGAGTCCACCTTGTTGAGTCCTATTTCTTAACCAATTGAGTTTGAATGGGAGACGATTATTAATAATGTATTTTTGTCTTAATTTTATGTTCTTACTTTTTTTTTATTTTATGATATTTGTATTTTTTTTATCTTTTATTACACATGACGTGGATTCGTCTGTACTCAGTGCAATTTCTAAGTCCAAAATGTCCGAGTCCGAGTCAAGTTCGAGTCCAAGTTCATTCATAATTGAAGTCCGAGTCCAAGTACCCCAACTCTAAATAATAGTATTCTTTATTCTTCATTTTACACTTCATTCTTCAGTGAAAGTGTTAAAAAATGAGAAAGTAGGTTCACAGTAAATGAACAAAAAATGTACTGCTTGTGTGTGTGTGTAGGCTTAGTAATCATTTTGTAATTACTAAATATTTTGGAAATTAAAAAAAAAATAAAAATTACAGGTCAAACACTTGGATTTTTACTACATTTTGTCCAAAACATTACAGGTTTTTGCAAGCTACAGTGGGTCTTGGAGGGTTTTTGGTTATTTGGAAAGTCATTTTTGAGCATAAAAGGCTAAATAATGGAGAAACGCAATCTACGGGCCTAAAGTTTTGAAAAGTGAACACCACCTGACTACATTTATTTGCACGACCTTGCTTGTGTATAATTGATTACCTATCATCTGACACTAGAGGGAGCCCTCTGGAGCTACAGCAGTCACATGCATCTGTCAGCTGTCATATCACTGCAGTCCAGTTGAGAAGAAACAACAGTGCAACAAATGTGTCTCTACAGGAACATAGTGTGGTTTATCAAGGGAATGAGGGAGTACACAAGGTAAAGGTCTTTTTGTATTTCGTACTGAATTCAGTTTGTGTTGTTGAGGTAATTGGGCTGCTTTATTGCTGATAACTTTTGAGAAAGTTTGTTGCAAATTCTTTTCTAATTAGTGTTTTGTTTCCAATCGCAACTAGATGGTTTTCATTGCTATGATCATTTACAAAATTATCTGGCCCGAGCGTATATTCAGCAGCTGCTCAAAGCTGCTGCAAAAACAAAGTCTTAAATGGTGTTCTCGCAAGCCAAATGTTGTTAGATGTAGTGGTTTCTTGCACAAATGTTGTTTTTGTATTTCCCCAAGTCATCTCCTCTGACATGCATTCATCCAAACCCTCAGTTAAAGGTCAGTCATCATTGCATCACAATGGGCCCTGTTGGGACCCCTGCCACTCTCTCAAGTGCCCCGTCATCCCACACAGAAGCTCCTCTGGCCCCTGATCAGGGCTCTTGTCTTAGGAGCTCTGTCTCAGATGCCCAGCGGTCACATAATTCAAGGATTGTGTTAAAAACACACTTTTATGGATAACCGTACAGCTCTTGAGGTTTTATGCTGGTTGTGTTTCTGATTTGAGTCATGTGTTGGATGTTGTCAACAGGTCTGGATTTGAGAATGCCTCTAAGAGCTTTGTAGCGAAGGAACTGGATGTGTCCATGGTAGGCCATTCCTTCATGATCACCAGAGTCAACAGCGGAATAGGGAAGGCAACAGCCACGGCTAAAAAAAGGGTTGTTTTACGGTCACAAACAATTTTTAGGTTACAGTATTTTTCCAACTATATGATGGCAGCAGATGGTAGTACGGTACCTTAATACTATGTATACCATAATGTTCTGAATGATTAGCATTTTCCTCTACCACGGTAGATACAGTATACATGTCGTTTTTGAAAGTGAAGACAATTATATTCAGATCGATAATATAACATGTAGATCATCATCAATATTAAATAAATACAATACTATTCAAAGGTTTGGGCTTGGTAAGATTTGACGTTTTTGAAAGCCTCTTATGCTCACCAAGGCTGCATATATTTGATAAAAATACAGTAAAATGCCAGAAAGCAGTTATGCGAGAAAATAGCCAAATTATACCAAAACCACCAACTCTTCAATCAAGCAATTCTTTCTATTTGAGGAGGTGGAGAGACAATCTTTCCAAACTGTTTGAGCAAAGAGGGAAAAACCATGCCATATGAATAAAGCACTGAATTGAAAAGATCGCCAGTAAGTGTTACGCAAAATTCCCATGACCATTTCAATGACCACATTGCCGACCACTTCCTTGACCGCATCCCTGACCTTCACCACATCCCCGAACACTTCCTTGACCGCTTCCCTGTCCGTTGCCCTGGCCCTGTCCGCTTCCCTGACCAGAACCGCTTCCCTGGCCGCTTCCCTGACCAGACAGGGCTCTACAGTGCAACCCCTTCCCTCGCCCTTGCGACTGAAAACTACTGCGTGCGACTATAAACATTTTTTAGGAGCACCAGTGCGACTGACCCGATCATCATCATACTTGTGATTGTGCTCAGGGGAGCTTCAAATGTTTCTACGCGTTTCTGCAGCGTTGAGTAATGTAGCACAGACATATCTCACGAATCCTTTCATAAGCAAAGTGAGAGATTCATTGCGCAGTGTAGAGAGCTTCGTTGATTATAGATGTGAGATCGAGATGAACTAAGATGAGAGCCAGCTTTTAATGATTTTTAAAGGAGTTTGTAAATGTGATACTAATTTAATACAATACAATTCAATAAACAAGAAGTTAATATTAAGTGACTTACATTGTCTGACTATAACACTATAGTCTGATTTTGCTCTATTTCGTCGTTGAAAATAGTTTTAAACAAAGTCACAGCTCAGCCGCTGCGCATCTCCATTCAAACAGCGGTCTCGTTTATGAATTAACTTTTTTTTTTAAATGAATCTAGTGAGTCAGTGATTCATGATTACCCATTCATAAAGACAGTCACTTGATTCATTCCTGAATGAATCAGCCGTTCGAATGAATCAATTGAATGAATGATTCAGTGATAAAAATCAGTGAAAAAACCTGCTGGCAGTTTGTTTCATTTTAAAAGTATCTTTTCAGTTATTTAAATCATTTAAGATTTCTATATTCAAAATTTTATATTTAAAACATTAATATCATCATGAATTTAAGGATTTAATTGCACTCATTCCACTTCTGAGCCTCATTAAATGTCTGAAAGTACACCAGGCCACTTTTGTGTTCTTCTGTGCCACGTAAATTAATTTTGTTGATACTGATTTCATTTCATTGGTAACTTATGTTTCTTATTCTACTTGTTCTTATTCTGTCATTTTAATTAATTTTTAAAAAGCGTATAAAATATAATTTAAGAATTTGACAAAAGATAACATACTTTTAATAAAGTTAGAGGAATCAAATATCACCTCGTAACGGGAAGGCTACTTTTTGATAACATTTTGGATACTTATTTAGAAGGTGTTCCTAAAATTTTGAACGTGCTCCTACATTTTTTTTTAAGTTATGAGCACAAGTACTCCTAAAAAGAAAAGTAAGCATAGAGCCCTGCCAGAACCACTTCCCTGGCCGCTTCCCTGACCAGAACCGCTTCCCCGGCCACTTCCCTGACCAGAACCGCTTCCCCGGCCCTGACCACTTCCCTGACCGCTTCCCTGGCCAGAACCAGTTCCCTGGCCAGAAACACTTCCCTGGCCGCTGCCCTGGCCGCTTCCCTGACCATAACCGCTTCCCTGACCGCTGCCCTGGCCCTGTCCACTTCCCTGGCCATAACCGCTTCCTTAACCAGAACCGCTTCCCTGTCCGCTGCCCTGGCCAGAAGCGCTTCCCTGACCATAGCCACTTCCCTGACCGCTGCCCTGGTCCTGGCCACTTCCCTGACCATAACCGCTTCCCTGGCCGCTTCCCTGGCCATAACCGCTTCCTTGACCAGAACCGCTTCCCTGGCCGCTTCCTTGACCAGAACCGCTTCCCTGGCCGCTCCTGGCCCAGTCCATTTCCCTGGCAACTTGCCTGACCTCTTCCCTGACCACGTGGTTCACTGCATGCAAAGCCACCGGTGGTTGGGCAACATTTCTGTGTGGCAGGACACTGGCCATAGGCCGCTTTCCTGACCAGAACCGCTTCCCAGACCACTGCCCTGGCCCTGTCCACTTCCCTGGCCGCTTCCCTTACCATAACCGCTTCCCTGACTGCTGCCCTCTTCGCTTCCCTGGCCAAGAGAGGTAGGAGCTCTGTCTCAGATGCCCAGCAGTCACATAACAATTCAAGGATTGTGTTAAAACCACTTTTATGGATAATAGTACAGCTCTTGAGGTTTTATGCTGGTTGTGTTTCTGATTTGAGTCATGTGTTGGATGTTGTCAACAGGTCTGGATTTGAGAATGCCTCTAAGAGCTTTGTAGCGAAGGAACTGGATGTGTCCATGGTAGGCCATTCCTTAATGATCACCGGAGTCAACAGCGGAATAGGGAAGGCAACAGCCATGGCTAAAAAAGGTTTGTTTTAGTCACAAACAATTTTTGGGTTACAGTATTATTTTTCCAACTATGTGATGGCAGCAGATTGTAGTACGGTACCTTAATACGGTGTATACCAT